TGATATGAATGTTTGCACCCATTATTATCAAAATCAAAACAAGCGCTCCAACCGAATCTATTTGTATGCTTTAGGTCGAATTTAAAATCCGTAGTCCGAGATTGGGGTCAAGAAGCAGTGTTGGATTTTTAACAATATCTCAACAATTTTTCACTCTTTATCAAATCTTATGGTACATCAATTGAGAAGGCAATTGCAGTGAAATAAATCTCAATTTTGTGAAAAAATCCACTCGAAAAATAGAGTCAAAATTACATCGAAGCCTTGTTCACGGAATTTCGATTAAATATCACTAAAGGATACTTTTTTTCTAGACTTCAGGTTGATTATTCTAAAGATCTGTAACTGCTTAAAACAAAATAAAATCCCTCGTAACTTTTCAAAAGGCTCTAAGTAACAAAAGTAAAGAAATCGAGCTATTGCTCTTCTATCATACTATGTGATACAAAAACACCCATCCATATTTACTTTCATTTATTTAAGATAATCATAGGCCAAAAAGTTGTCCAATGAACAGTTTGAAACGAGGGTTACTTGATTACGTCGGAAATTTGGACTGCCTAACATTTTCTAAAGGCAGGGCATGGAAAACCAATGTAAGGTTGTAAGTAAGGGTACCAGTCATTTTTTCCGATGTTAGGTACTCTTTTCTGAAATCTGTGAAAGGGAATCCAATGCAACACTCATTGCTTATGTCATTGAAAAAAACCGTTCATGTTCGAAAAATGTAACATGTCCGATGTACAACTTGACGTTCCAAGTGATTTTTTCTATATTGTTTCTACTGAATTTTAACATTATTGACTAACTACGGTTAAAAATAGTATTGAAGAATGCATTGTTTCTAAACAGTTAAAATAATAATCTGTCGAACTGCAGCTTCAATTTTCTCAAAATGGCGGATATGTTAAATTGAGGCCGCCGGAAATGTGACTAGCTGTCACTAGTGAGGTGACTCCCCATTTGATTTGCACGTAACGTCACCTGACTCGCGGCGCAGAATAAGGGGGATTGGTCCTTTTGAAAAGTTACGCGAGAAATGTCGTATCTCAGATTTGCTTCCAAAAAGACGGCAGCTTGATCAGGAAGTATTTAAAAGATATCTAGCTGGCCGAAGGTTTCAGTTATGTCCTACTCTAAAGATCTTCTAAGAAAATTCTTCTATCTTCTTGAATATTCTGATTTTTTTATTAAATAAAGGAACAGACTAATAATCTAAAAGTCCACATCTAGACTATCATTTGAACCGGGTGGAACCTTTATTCAACTCTTTCTACACAAAAATATAACTCAGAAATATAAGACATACAAAAATTTGACCAAGATTGATTTGTAGAGAATTAGATTAGAAAATGTCAAAAAATTTGAAATATCATTCATACACCGAAAAACATTTATTTTAAAAAAAGTCTCATTAACGTAAATTTTGAAAATTTTGATTATTTGGTTTCAAACAAACTAATTATCTACAAGTCAAAGGTCATATACATCCCAAGATGAGCACTTTTATAGGAAAAAAATATTCTAACAAGCGCTTTTTCGTGTTTGCATTGAATGAAATCACAGCTGATGACCCAAGTAACATTGCAAGCTTTATAGAGGTTTTATAGCGTTCTACAAGTCTGAATCATGTTACTTGGGGAATGTCATCCCAAAGCGGATAAATTGCAACCAGATCCCTTCCAAACTCGACTGAAACATTGTTGGTGTGAAGACTTTAACCTACGAAGCAAATTAAGCATAGTATGGTATTATTTTTTTTTCAGTGTAGGTATGAAGAATGTCAAAATTTGGTGACGCAACCATCAAACCGACTTGGACTCATCAGCCTCCAAACGAAAGGTACCACTGTTCCTTAGAATGCTATTGAATATTTTTGGAAAGGGTCAACTGGTTCCGGAGATATTTTCTAATAAATTCATTTTTATCAAGGCTCAAATGCGGAAGCTTTACGGAGCCGAAATTCATTTTACATTTTACAATGTTTCTTAACACTAGAGCTAGTACAAGAGGGGTCCGAATACTCGCGGCTTATTCGAGGGTACGGGCTACAATCTATTAACAGAAAGGTGCCGGTGATATGGCCGAAACATTTTCCGATGAATACGGATCACGGATCCAACTTCTCAGTGTAGGAATGATATTTTTATGTTTGTGATATTTTCTTCTGCAATCTCACATTCTTCTCTAAAATTCGATTGTTTAATTGAAATTGTTTAAGATTTTATCAGTTTTCACAGTTTTCAGCTAAACACAATTGTGGATTAGTCAGTCAGTTTGTATGTTAATCAAATGTAAGCGATCCATAATTGTGGGTGATCCGTAAGTATATTTGTTCTCCTTCTTTCAAAAAGGGATTTTTTTTTCATGTCCCCTGAAAAAGTATGCAAAGTTGCTTAATTAACAAAGTCTTACAACCATTAAAATTCAAAGGAATTGGTAAGGGTTCTTACAACAGGCGCTTTCGTCTATTCCAAATTCGTTCAAATTTAAACTTGATGCTTGGGTGGTGAACCGAAGACTTCGTTCGATGAATTTCGACACGGTCCACTGAAATTTTGTAATTTTTCATACCTGCACTGAAAATAAAAATCATAGCATGCTTAGCTTAACTTTCTTAAGCAATGTTTTATTCTAATTTGTAAGGGATCTTGATGAAATTTACCCGCTTCGGGATGAAACTCGTCTGCTGCGGTTTCATTCAGTGTAAAAACGAAAAATTTCATTTTCCTGTAAAAATGTACATCTTGAGATGTATGAATGACTTGTAAATAATTAGTTTTTTTGTATCTGTAATTTTTTAATAATTTAAAAACATCAAGTTGTTGCGAAACACATTCTTCCTACACTGAAAAAATATGTTTTTTACATTTCATATTTTATATAAATTCGAAAATATTTTTTTCAGTGTAGGAAGAATATTTTTAACGTTTTCACATTTTCTTATGAAAACACACACATAATTCTCTACAAATAACTCTTGGGAAGCATTTTTGAGTTCAATTTGTTTGTAGAAAAAGTTGAAGAAAATTTCCATTTTGTCCAAATAGTCGTCTAGATTTTTTCATGGAAAATAAGTATGCAAAGTTGCCCTAGTAGCACGCTTGTCACAAATTAATTGCAGAAACTTATATACGACTTATTTCAGTCATAAACAAATTGCTATAACTTATTGTGATGAAAGTGTGCTACTCGGGTGCTTAAGCATACAAAATGTTTACACCCAAAATGTTTCATTGGGATCTGAGCGGGTGCTGCCAACTCCGTAGTCGAGTTGTCGTCAATTTGCCATATAGATAAAGTTCTCAGTTGTGACATTTGTTCGTGTTAACACTCCGAACACGATGCCTCCAGTAAAATGTGTTACGCAAATGAAAAATCGTTGCTCAGCAATTTATCGACCGATTTTAAATCTATTGAAACCGAATAAAGCTTTAAAGTATGTAGTTTCAAATACCGCCAACGGATTTGAAATTCGTCAATAGATGGCTAGCTATGATTTTTCAAACATTGCAAGTTTTACCGAAGGCATCGTGTTCGGAGTGTTAAATAACTAAACAGGAAACAGAAGAACCCGCTCAAGGATTTCTCATGAAGATATTTATTACTAATATAACATGATATTTTTTAGCAGAATTTAACGAATTCTCAAAATCAATACGCAGGGTTAAGATCTAATTCCCGCCATACGGAACAAAACCCCCACTTTACCGATCTTTTTCGAACGCTTTTGTACAAAAAATGCAATGTTTCTAACAAAGATGATTTCAAAATGTATTTACCTTTCCATACGTAATGTTAGATTAGCTAGAAAGTCACACATTTTTTAAATATTGATAGAAATCTAACACTGCTTCTTGTTTACAATTCCGTCATACGGCTTTCAATTCAGTTCAAACACATTGAAACGCCATTTAATTCACTTCGGCCTACAGATGAAGTCAGAAAAAATTGATTCGCTAGAAACGTTCATATTATGCGTTCTTGTAGACTTTGTTTTGTAGCTTTTGAATAAACTACACAGCAAAAAATTAATTTTGATATCACATTAAAGTGGATGCACTTCAATCGGGTCGAAAATAAGGTGTAATATTATTTGCCAAAAAGGACAAAATTATCATTAATACAGTGCATGAAGTGACATTACGCTACTTTTACTGCATTTGTTTATTTTTGTGGCCATAAAAATTACATGAGATTTTTAACATGATTGAAGTGCATCTTCTTGGATGTAATATTAAAATTTATTTTTTACTGTGTATCGTGCCAAATTCGTATGATTGATTCGTTCACGTCGAAATCATTGACGATATGACGGAAATGGGCACCTATGCCCGAAGTAGCTCCTACCCTATTTCAATATCTACGTTTAAGTCAATAAATGTCTATCCATCTGAATATTACCTACGAATCAAATATTTTTTTTTTCTTTTTCCATATGGCTAACCAACTGTGAAGCAACCTCAAAACAAGGTCAAGCCACTTGGCAACTGCTGGAAGCTCGAGTTCCCCTTTCACTAAGTCAACTATAGCCGAACAGAGTACCACCAATTCAACCATCCTATAGGTTCCAGCCAGCCAGTCAGACCGACTCAGCAGTGGTCGGTCATTTCCGATTAATTTTAACGAGACTTTCCCACAAAAACTTCCAAGTGCAAACACACTCCATTCATAGCCAACTGTTGGCTGCGCGAGATCGTAAACAAAAACTAGCGAACTGAAGCCAAACTTTCTTCCTCTCTATCGCTCTTTGTGGCATACAAAAAAAAAAGAATAAGCAAGCCCTCTTGTGAACCACTCCAAAACACTGGTGCTGCGCACCTAATTTGCAACATTTATGACCCGTATCCGACGAGTCTGGGACTTTTGTCGGGGCGGTTCACCGAAACCGAGAGGCGAATCAGTGAACTCTTTACACCCTGTTAACTCCGTGTGTGTGAACTCGATGAAGGCCACAGGTACCTACTATAAAGTAGAGAGTTTTCAATTTTGCGACTCACCACTATCATCCGCAGGGCACCAAGTTCGTGGGCAACGTCCGTCATTACGCTGATTTTCGGGGGATTTTCACTGCTGGAACTACTGGCTGACTGCTCCTCCTGGTTGGACAGTGTGCTTGATTGCTCTGCCTTGTTCACCTGTCGGTACAGTTACCACTCAATCTTCAACTTGAACGAATTTCGTGTTTGTGTTTATCTTGATTTCTTCACCTTTACTGAAATTACTGTCTGCTCCACTGGTTCTTAAATATGTGGTTCTGTGTGCGCTCGTTTCGCCAATTATGCCACTCGCGCGATTCGAAAAAACACTCGCAAATTTGCACAATTGTTATCCAATAATCATAACACTTCGCTGACCGTCGAACCGCAAACCAAACAATGCCAATGTACACTTGACTTTGATTTTGCAGATCTTAATTCAGTGTTGCTTTTTTCCTGAACCTTTTCTTCACCCAACACTATTGCTCCTAACTTCAAATAACAGTAGGCTCGATCGCTCCTCACGATGAATCCTCTCTGTCCTAGCGCTGGATGCTGACTGACTGCTTGACGATCCTCTTGTCCACAAGAAAATCTGCAAACTATCCTCGTTTCTGTAGATTCAGTGACCTCGTGCTAAAGAATCGACCACCACCGACCGACTCGACTGTGTGCTTGAGTTTTCCGAAACTATGCGAAAACTGAAAATCCTCTCAATGTGTGCGCGGCGGTCCACTCTTGAAATCAAAAAAATAAAATATAAACGTAAGTAACGATGCGATGCGATCACTTTAATTACTTTCTTGCGAGTGAGCGGTGTCGAAATTGGTTAAATGCTTTTATAAATTTTCACTGCTATTCCATGTGCCCGCCGCGCCACCACCACGACGCGATCAACAAAGATGAGTGAGAGAGTGCAAGCGGCTCAAATGCTGCTGCCACCCTGCACCCTCCACCCAACCACCCACCACACGTTTGATGATTTTTTTCCACGCTTGAAAATGTTTACCCACGTGAGAGCGAAAAAAGAGAGAATTTGAAATTTCGCGCGCGTTCATTGGAGCATTTCTTTCGAAACAGAGAGAGCGCACGGGAGCGTGCAACAGTTTCGCTCGCATTCTCTTTGTCCTATCCCCCGGCCCCGTCGAAGAGAGCGCCGAGAGGAGCAGAAGTGGTTTCGTAACCCAGAACGCCCAGAACCAGAAGGAGAATCTGCGATGCGAGCAAACGTCAAGAATGTCACTCAACGCGAAGCGGTCAATGCTTGAATGGATGGAGACGCTTGGTCGGAGGTTCGAACCAAAGAAAGAAAGGCATAACAAATGGAAGGCGTGATTTTGCGGAGAGGTTTAAATTAGATTTCGAACTGTGGACAACTTTGTTCCCATGCGAATGGGAATGTTACGGCACTGATATCGCTACTCCTTCGCACCCGAAAATGTTCGCTAGAATTGAAAGTGCAACTCAAAATCTTCGTTACTCACTGATAGGTTTGTATGAATATCAGAGCACATAGAACGTTTCTCGTCGCGGTGCCCAGTCACGATGTGCTGAATTTGTGTAGATTTATTGACTTGGGTGAACAAACACAACTCTTAGCGCTAAATCACTTTTTCTTTGGTAACCATGCGGAACGATTGTTACATTTTGTTTTTGCTGTGGCCACGATTTGCTGAAAACGAAAATCCTACATGACTACTTGAGATCTTACCATTTTAATAATATAGCCAAAGGCCGAACATTTGTTAGCGCCCCGTAGTGGCTAAATTTTGAAATTAATTGGCAACTACCAGATAGGACTTGGTAAGATATTATATACCGAAAGTGGGGGTGACAAAAAATGAAAATTGTTCGTTCCCCACCTTACAACATTCACATTTTAGTAAGGAAATTAATTTTAAGCATGTGCATATAAACAAATAAAAAATATATCAAAGAAATCCTTAGGCCGTTCGCAATGCTGTTTTATTTTATATGGACTGATTTAATTTGAAACTAGAACAGAAACGCACCCGTCGCAATGTTGAGTTGCAGTTACATTATTCGAGCACTATGTTGAACCAGATTTGCAACTGCTCGATTATTCTGTTTTATTTCTGAGCGGGTTTGAAAATGATGTCAAAGCCACTAGCCCTTATTTATTGCAGTGGTAGATGTCACTGCAAACATATAAAGAAGAAGAATAAGGAGCGTCTAAGGTTGTGATCCATTTACCGAGTTAAATTTAACTCCTGGTTAAAAGTGACATTTCGAAAGTTATTTTCCATGTTCGAAAATTCCTGTATTATATACGAATTTCGTGCAAAACTCTAACTCAAAAATCCAACTTCTTGCCTGTCAGAAATAATTATGCTTGGATACCAGGGTTAATCGATGACTATCCGTCTGTCAAATTGTAACGAAAAGTTAAAAAAAATCAGTCAAATGGTTCAGAGCCCAATCTGACAGATAGATGGGAGATGGCCAGGGGAAAACGAGGTGACGAATTGAAATCTCATAGTTCAGAATCGGCAAATTGATCATTTGCTTTGATAATTAATTTGAAATTATTGCTTCTAAAACGGATTTGATTTGCAGTTACATAAAACTTATTTTTTTAATGAACAAAACTGACCAAAGTTTGGGAAAATATGAACAACTTGAGTCTGCCAGTTCTGTGTGTTTTTTTGCTAGCTGCTGTCAGCATTTTCAGTGCAGTGTGCTTCCAGTTTTCGATTGCAGTTGTTCCGAAACAAAGATGCAGGCAATTGCAGCTTAGATCATATTGAGATCCCAAGGATGACCCCGGTGAAAGTTGTTAAAGGCTGACTAAAAGTAAATTGGTACGCCCCTCGCGCGCCGCTAGCACGCTTCTAGCAACAATCAATACGAAACTATCGATTTGAAATTGGCTCACTACTTGACTAACCTATTGGTCCCAAGCAAATCGATTAACGTACCCCATTCTAGTCGAAATTCTAGTACTGCACAATGTTTGTTTTGATTCGCTTTGATAGTTTGACAGATAAAATGAGGGGTTAGTGGAATTTCCTATGTTTCGAGGGGTGAATCGATTAGCTTGGGACCGAAGATAGTACCAGAGCTGAGCCAAAAAGTAGAGCTCGTTTCTTCGGGACCTACTAGTATTAGAGTTACCTCTATGCTTCTAGTGTTGTGAATCGAAAATCTTTGACAGTGGTTTGTTTACACTTCTATAGCGAACAACTGGTGCAAGTTTGATCAAAGTAGTCGATCGCGTTCATAAAAAACGTCAAATGCAACTCGAAAGAAGAAAAAATATTGTGCACAACCACCTGGACAATCCGGAGTGGTCCGGTTCCAAGCTGGCTAAAGTGCTGAAGATGCCGAAAACAAAGAAACCCTGAATGTGGAAAAGAATCAGCCGACTTACGAAAAAACCGGAACCAGGGATCGTCAGCTGCGCAGCAAGATGTTGAGGTGCGTTAAAGCCAATCCCGGTCTTGCGATCCGGGATGGGGCCAGAAGGTACAACGTCAACTTTCGGTGCGGAACATCCTTGCTAGGGAAGGATACAAGTCGTACAAAGCCAGTAAACATCCGAACCGGCACATGAAGCAGAATTCCGTGGCCAAAAAGCGTGCAAGGCTTTTGTACGATCGTGTTTTCACGAAACTGCACAGGCCTGCACTTTGATCGATGACGAAACATACGTCAAACTCGATTTTAAGCAGCTTCGCGGTCAAAAATTTTACATCGCGACTGGACGTGGGGATGTGCCGGGAAGATTCAAGTTCGTGTTTGCCGACAAGTTCGCGAAGAAGACCATGATTTGGCAAGCGATTTGCAGTTGTGGCCTGAAAACGATGACGATGACATCCAAAGTTTACATCGAAGAATGCCTGGAAAACCGTGTATTGCCGGTCATCCGCAAGCATAGGGGCAAAGTCATCTTTAGGCCAGCTGCCACTACTCCAAGATGGTTCTCGAGTGGTTGGTTGGTTGGTTGTCTTTATTAAGGAGACTTTCATCCAGACGCTGGTTCATCTCCGGGGTTCTGGAGTGGTATGCTGCCAACAAGATCGATTTTTCCCCAAGATAATGAATCCTCCCAATTGCCCGGAATTTCGACCAATCCAAAAATACTGGGCAATTTCCAAGCAGCGACTTCGACGAAGCGGCGGGGCAGTCAGGGACATCCAGCAAATGCGGGTCAAATGGAAGAAATGCGCTGATTCCGTGTACGTTTCCACTGTGCGGGCGGTGATGGGCTCCATCAAGAGGAATGTTTGAGATTTCGTTCGAACTGGAGAAATGTAACCATCTAATGCAGTAACTTTGAAGTTTTAATAAAAGTACTGTAAAGCAACCATTAATGGACTTTTTTAACCAATTGAATCACGAATTACAGGTCTTTTTGTGCGTACCAATTTACTTTTAGTCAGCCTTTATAGGGGACAATTATAGTTTTTCACCAAAATATACAGATCTATAGCTCTTTTTTCATGATTGTATCTGTAGTCTTGTAACGGGTTATAATTACTAATACGCGATTGATTGCCAGCTGCGTTTTGAAATTTTATCTCAAGTAATTTCATAAAAGTTTATTTATGTATGGTATATTCAAGGCTGGTAGCAGGTCACTTTTTAGTGACTTGGTCACTATTTTCAAGCCAGTCACTAAAAAGTCTCTTTTTTCATCAAAAGGTCACTAAAGTCACTATTCCTTAAAATTTAGTCACTAAAGTCACTTTTTTTACCACCGATGTTTAGAGTAAAAAAAAACTTCAAAAACTCACATCAAATCACAGATTGATTTGGTAAAACGGTGTGTTAGAAAGATTGATGTGAATTCATTAAAAATGCGTGTAAATTCTGACGGACAAGAAAAGTTGCGGTCAGACGAAAATGTTAACTGTAAAATTGATGTTGACGAAATCACTAATATTTTTATTTGTTTGATCTCGAATTGGTTATAGACCTATCACAAACTGTAAGAGGTTTCGCAGGTTGCAATTTTCTCAATTTGGTTGTGTTAGAGATCTCGAATTTTCAGACCCAAAAAAAATGGTCCAAAACCAAAGGGTAGGTCACTCCGCACACCAATCCTGGGTCATCTTTTTTGTCAATGTGCCACAGGTGTGCCGATTGTGCTGGTCATAGAGCAAGTTGCGATTGTTTGTAAAATACCCATCTCGGCAAACCGGTATTTCTGACACCTTGAATGTTTTGTTTGAAATTGCAGGGATAAATCGGGTTGAGGATGACGCGGGAAGTGGCGGGTGTGCGAAATTTTGGTGTTTTGTGTTCATAGGATAATAAAAGTTCTGTGTTTTAGAGTTTTATAATGCCCTCAAAGGCAGAACGGAGACCTAGCCTTTCGTGATGTGAAAAGCGGTCGGAAAGAGTTGGAACCGGTGGGGAATATGGGTCAAGATCGACTATAGAGGATGATGAATAGACTTCTGTAGTTTGTTTGGTGTGAGTTGCAGCATTTTTTGAATAAAGGGTATTAATGAGGTCTGATTAACTGCCTCTGTCTCTTGAGTCCACTCTAGAACCTACATTTTGTATTTAGATCTATATTTTAACTGCTGGTCTGAGTTCCTCTGGTATATTCAATTAGAGGATGTTACAGTTGTCTAGCAGTGCTCCCATTTTATTTAAAATGATCCAATGCCTACGAAATTGTGCCGAAGATATGGCGATGGATGTGCCCAAGCTGTGCCGAATCTAATTTCGGCACAATGTGCTGAGTGACTTACCCCTTTGTCCAAAACTCTAAAATGCATCCCTAAATCCCTAATTTTTCGCGATCGAGATTTTTAGACCTAGGCGCATTCAAATTTTGTTTTA